GCGCTCTCACAACCTGCTCACAGGGCGAAGAAGGAGAGAGTGAAGCGTGGGAGAACGGTGGCGCCACGGTTTCCCGCCAAAACGGAAATAGAGACAACTCTGGTGAGTAGTGATTTTACGTCAGTTTTATTGAAGGGAGCTTCAATAGGAGATACAAGTGTTCCACTAAGTTCGCAAGAGGAAGGAGACAAGCAATAAGCATGAGTCAGGATAAGGAAAAATATATATTATCGCCATAGTTATTGAAACAAAAAACGATTTGACAACGCGTCCACATCAAACTTGTCAAAGAGCAAAGTAACAATGTTTCGAGGAAATAATTAAACAAATTGAATAAAGAATAAAATCAAGAACAGTACTCATAAAAGTTGTCAAACGTACATCATAAGTTACTATATTCCATCTTTTTGAGTGCGATCATGAAATGTAAGCCAAATAACATTTCGGCTTTCGTCGCCTCGAGCTTCACGCTTGCACACGATGTTTAAGTTTTAAATATATGTTTGAAGCATTTTTGTCACAGGTCATAACCAAGCACGATACGGCAACTAAGTCCCATAAGGTGGTGATTTTGTGCGCAACCCATTCAGAATAGGATGATTTTACCCAAAACGTTCGTCTAAATCTAAAGTTTTCGTTTACGAGGACGGTATCCATTGCTGTAATAATATTGGTTGCCTTAGCTCACGTGCATGATTTTGACCATCACAAGCCTTATAGCAGACTTTGTAACTACTTGTGTCATTCCGGCAAGCCGGATGGCGACTCGTACCTCTCTCGTGGCCATGTTCACAACTAGTCTTGGAATAAGAAAAGCAAGATTTATGGATGTCAACTTCTTTATTGTGGACACGCCTTTTCGGAGTGTATGCTTGCTCCTTCTTATGCATTCCACTTCTAAATGCCTTTCAAAGATTTAGTCTAGGAATATTTCCAAACATGGCCACTCCTTGAAAGGAATGTTAAGTAAGTTTCTTATGTCGTTAACAAATAACAGTAAAAAGATAATTTTATAATCCCAAAACTAATAATGAAAATCGATAATCGCAAAGAAACCATTTGACTCCATTCGTAACTACTCGCCTCTTTCCGTGACCTACGCTATTCGGCTTGTCCGGAATAACACGAATTGGTCACTAATGTATTTGACTCATTTCACATTTTACTACACGCGATTTTATTGGATTGCCATGATATTTGGCAATAATGGCTTACTATACAGGTACAAGTCTTCTTGTAGGTCACGGAAAGAGGCGAGTAATTACGAATGTTATAGCAGATTGTGGCAAAAACGCGTCATTAGAAACCAATGTTTATCCAATAAAATCGCTTCTTACAACTGCAAAAAAAGTCTGTGTTATTCATAAAAATCTTCGAAAACGGAGGTATGTCCTGCTGTTGTGTCACGTTACCGAGCGGAAAGCCAGTTATCGGGAAATAGCTGTCCATACATATTATTTCAGATACCTTTTTATAATAATTTTCCCAAAAATGAAAATATAGAAGAAAAAGGTAAGGGGATATTATGACTGGAATCTTGTCAGGCACTACATAGGGTTCACCCAAGACATCCAATTTTGTGTGTCACAATGAAACTCAAAAACATATTTAGGAGTCAAATCCAAATATTAGAGAGTCACATTACAATTTCTCTTAAAACATTTCCAACTGATAATACATGTACCTTCCTATATAAAACTTGACTGATAAAATAGGAAGGTCAAACAATGAGACTTTCTGAAATTATGATCAGCATGGCTTGGTCTTTGGGCACTTCATGTGTGGTTAACGTAGCATTTTGAAAAGTTCTGCATCACGTAGTGATTGGTAAGTAGTCCGTCACAAAGACTAAAAATGACTGTTATAGGTGATCTATTTCAATAATGCTGCGTTTACACTAGGCCACGATTATGCCGATCCGACATGAACCAAATATCGTAGAAGATCTTCATGATCATGTAATGTTTTGTTTATTTTCCCCTTTCTTGACGCTCCTTTACGGTTTCATACGTTCTGATATGCATTGTTACGACTTGATATCTGATCAATTACACTTCAATGAAGATCTGTTATGAATATTTGACAATCTGTAGCGACTTTTTACGATCATTATGATTTGAGTATACAATCTGTTGCTATTTCTAACGTTTTGAGACGTTCATAACGATCTGCTACCTTTTGTTGCCTTCTGTTTAAACAAAGAAGGGCAATTAAACATGATTGTGACATGATTTTCGGACAGCATGAGTTACTTTGGAGCCCTTTCCTTTGCCCTTTTCGGTCACATCTCCTATATTCTACAATGATAAAATAGTGTGATACACAATGCAGTTGGATCACAATGAATTTCGTCTGGCAGCGTGACAAAATTTATAGGAAAGCATACCAAACACACCAGAACATGTCACAGCACTAGAGAGCGTAATAGATCATGACAGATCGTGATAGACTGTGGTCGTTAATAGAAATGCATTGAATTGTATTAGATCGAGATAGATTGTGTACAATGTGACACAGTACAGGATATCTTAATACAATCGCAATAGGTCGTAATAGATCTTTATGTAAAGACAGATGGTGTATCAATACTGTCAATACTTATTGAAGTAAACTTGTGTATACAGTCCAGGTCACAAAACAGTTGAAGTTAAGCAACATTGAGCTCAGAGAGTCCTTGGATGGGTGACCGTGTTTGGCAGCTTGACTCTTGAGAGTTTCTAGGACTTCAGTCCTGCCGCTCAATGAAGCATACATGATACATGTGGTCTCACCTTAGGCAAGCGAGTTTGTTCAAACTTGCCTCTGTTCACCTAGCAGAAAATGGGTACCCGGTGAGATAAGTCATGTGACTATTAACCTTCAAGCGCCTCACAGGCAGCTTGGGTTATCCGAGGTAATAATAATCAGATTCTGATTAAAGCGTACAGTGGGCAACTAGTCAAATGGATACTAGGCGCTATATAAATGAATTATTTATTATTATTATTACTATTTGATATGAGCTGAATACGTGATAAGTATTGACATAGATAATTCAGTATCATTGACTGACAATGCTTAGAATTTTCAAGAAGCATATCTGAAAGTGATCATTCGTGTTCAGGATGAACTAAGGAATAGTATTAAGAATGAAAGGTCAAACTTGTAAGAAATTGGTAGCAAAAGTCAAAAGAGATGTCAATCAAATGTAGACTAATTTCTACAATTTAGATCTTTTTTCCCCTCGAGTGGATTATTATACATAACAGTCTAAACAGAATGCATTTTTGTCTCCTTTCAATGCTACTGTTTGGATCAATCATGCCAATTTGATCTGATGAAATTGTCATTTCATTAATTCAGAAACAAATAAGACACTTTCCAGGTGAACACCTTTTAATCTGATTACCTTTCTCTCCTCCTCAGTGATTCAATGGAGTTGAAAGACATAAGAATCTAGTTAAATCCTCCTTAGTAAAGTAAGTCAACAAGCTATGCAGCACAAGCACCTGGGCTTATTAGACTTAGAGGTCACAGGTTTACAGCAATGCCCCTTTCCTATAGGAGAAGCATGAATCAGTTCGAAGAGATTACCCAGCTACCACTTCAGCTTCCGCTTTCTCTCCTCACATTACTGATGGATAATGTGTTACCTTCTCAACACCTTCCAAAACACCTTTTTCACCTAAAATGTTTCAATCAACATGATAAGACACTTGTTTAATACATTTCCCATAATCGTCTTCCTTTTTTCAACACAAACCAGGTTTGAACCATTCTTGAAGCAGCTAGTAAATATATTCTCCTGCAATGTTTCTCTCTGGCACCGAGTGAGGACTGGAGTCACCTTGACATCTCTCTCATGTAGCCGAAGTGTGGCTGGCGCCCAACCCCAGATGGCAAGAATTCACTTCTTTCAAATAGGCAACTTTGAATGACATACAGAGGCATAATAGAAGTTCTAGTATCTGACTCCATGTTGATTAGAAGTGGAGAGAGGCGGAACATAATGTCTTCTAAAATGTACCCAAATAATGTGTCAAATGATGTTTCAACTAGAAAAACTGTCCCATATTTTTATAAGTAATTGTTTAAAACTATTGGAGGAGGGGATTGACTATTATCACTGTCTGAAACTAAGTTTTCATTTATAACATGACTTCAGATGTTCAGAAATGTTAATTTCTTCAAATCAATCATTTCGTGAAGAAACTGCATTATTGTATTCATTATCAAACTATATAGCGACATTTGGGCCAGCACTAAGCAATTCACATATTACATGCCCCAAATGTTTGTCTCAAAGTAATTAAATCTTCGTTTTCAGAGATATATTTTTACAGTTTTATGTACACACTTACCAAAGCCTGACTTCTTTTCACGTCATAATAGCATAAGAAATAAGAGTAATGGCTTCCAGTGGCTGCAATATGGTATGACACCACTTGAGTCAATATTCCAGCCATTTCCAGCAGGTGGGGTGTCACACATTCTGCCAATGTTGGGAGTGGAACTTGAGCTGTCGATATAGTGAGCCTACCACTCATGTCAAAAGGTCAATTGTTTTACTGGCACACTCCAATTTGGATTTGAAACTAAATGTTTTGGAATCATACACGCAAATACTTATTTTCACCTGATGATTGGGTACAGTGTAACATCTTAATTTCATTATCAAAATGTGTTTTTGTGAAGAATATGGGTGTGACATGCCAGAACAACTCATTAACTTTAACAAATATTGTATTTAAACTTATGCTTTTTTACATTATGTGAATTCATCATGTACAGCCACCCATTGCCTGCTACTGACTAGTGTTGCTGACCTTGCATAAATCATGGTTAAGAGTTAGTCTACTCATCACTGAATGTGTTGATGTTAAATTCTGAACACAGCCTGAAAAACTTACCCATTGATGCTTCTAGTTTTGTCTTGCCTACATGCTTTCAAAGACCAGGTAATTAACACTTAATGTGTAGCTATATGGAACATACCTATTTCAATATACATTTCTACTAACCTTGCAAGGTCTGTCAAAGAGTGGCATGGCGGGGCTGTCAGAGGCGGAAGTGTTGGCTTTGGTGGCTCTCTCTTTCTGCGCCAACTCACGTAGACGCTCCTTATCATGTCTGAAAACACAAATATACATAATTTTACTCTGTAGCTATATCCTGACCAAAAACATGTCAACACACACTTTTCAGCTGAATTTAGATGAAATGACATAAAACAGCATCTAATAACTGGCTGAACTGCCAACAAGTTGAGAGTGGGAATACTGTTATTTAGGCAGCTTTCCCCCAATGCCAGCATTCATTACCATGTGACAGCAAAGATTATATCAGCAAATACAGAGGCGTTTCACCACATCTCATTGCTTAGGCCACATATGGAGACAAAGAATAGTAATAAATTCTGAAAACTATAATTTATTATTCTCAAAAGTAATAAAAAATTACTCCAGTGATTTTCCTGTGGGGAGATATATGACTGCTACTACAAACATTAATTTATTTTCAAAAAGATTAAAGTCACTTCATGATGTTGAGGCAGCATGTATCTACCGAAAACAATCTTCATGTGGGGCTCATTTCACAAAACCATTAAACCTACGAAAACGATTCTAATCTGACATCCAACTAGCCTACAAACAAGCCTACACAACCTCCCTGCTCACTCATGATGTGGTATGTGTTCTGAAAAGTATAATAGCTGCCGAATTGAGTCACTAAGTGAATTTGTACCAAATTACAAAGACTTTGAAAGCAAAAAAGGCATTATATATCTGGCTCATAACCACTGGTTCTCCAAATATTGTGCAGTGGTAATTATAGTTTCTTGAACTAAGTGTATTCCATTATTAAATGGTTTTAAACATTATTTTTGTGGACAAAGCCTCATATATTATAAGTGTTCATTTTCGAAGCAGATTTAACTGAAAAATTAACTGACAAATAATCCCTAGAAATAACAGCTGTCTGAAGAAGGCCATGAATCCATTTAAATCTGATGTCTGACTGCAGCAGCAGCAGCAGCAGCAACAACAACATGAACATGTTGATCTCACAACATTCCATAGTTTTGTTGGCCACCTTTTCAGCATTTTGTTTATTGAGGGCAGCGACACAATCTTGTGCAAGATCAGGCTCTGTCTTCTATCCACCTCCCCACAACAGCATGTAACTATTTGCACTGCAAACAGCTGACTAAGACTGTGAAGGCAAGGCAGCAATGAGGCAGCTTAGCAGACTGAGAATATGTTGCACTAGTGTACCTGCCTCTTGGAATTCCCCACATTGCCAGAACAATAAGCATGCCAAAATGTTGAAACACCCACCTCCTGTATCTCATACACCAAACTCAATTCTAGGAAACCTTCAGTTATAAAACAAAGTAATTTGATGGATGCTGTTAAGAGTATGACAACAGTCAACATCTGTCAGATTTAGAAACCTTAGTAAACACATTTGACATTTGGCAACACTGTGTAGCAAGACATGGTCACATGGTTGGCAAACATTTTTCATAATAACTAGAAATGTTCACCGCATCTGATAACCAAGAATAGTCAGCCACAACCCAACAAAGTAATAATCTGAATCAGTGTGTACAATGTGGCAGACGTCCTCACGTTCTAACCATATGGTCCTGATTGTCCGAGGAAAACATTATTCCTAGCCTTCAAACAATAGTATGTATTGATTTTTACAACCCTGAATTACCGTCAAGTGTTTTCCAATAGACTTGTTTCAAGTCTTCAACTAAGTATCTAGCCACACTATATGGTCTCAATGCCTCTTGTTTGGTTTTCTATATTTAATGTCCATACATTAATACTAAAGCCTACCCAAAATGGTTCTGAATTATACATTTGGTCAGTAGACCCTAGATTTACTGTCAGCATTGATATTCAAATAACTTTCTCATACGTTTGAGGGAAAAAAAAATACCCATTTACCTCAATAATTCAAACAAACTATGATTTCATCATGAAGAGAAACACATGCCACAGTTCATCTCTATCAAAGATATTTGCAAAGCCTAGAACGAATAAACAAATACAACAATGAAAATATACAATAGAAAAGAAACAGAACAGAACTGACAATTTACACACCCAAAGCCAATTTAATTACAGTCTGTACAAATACTCCCAACTTATCATTACAAATATACGAACACCATTTTCAAAATATTTGGCAAAATGGCCAGAAAAATTAAATTGTTCTGAGTGTTAAGGCATGAAATAAGGAGAACTGTCATTCGATATATTTTTCGAAATTGACATGACCACATAAACACTAGTCTGATGCTTGAAAACACTGCATGTGTACTCCTTGAAAGAGGACATGTGAAAGGTAATGTGACGTTTGAGTAGATTAATCTATGTCAATGTGCACCTGATGACAACTGGAGACCTCCTGACATGTCATCGACAAGCAGACACAACATGGGTGATAACATGTAACAACAACCCATCTGGACAGCTTCATTCTGTCAACACTTTCATGTTGCTGCTGGCCCCCAACAACAAAAGCAGTGATTGTCACTGGAAACAAGGTAAGATTCATCCATCCCCTGACAGTGATTCAGTATTTGAGGTCTGAAGGACTGCAGTGCAATCACCCTTATCTTGGTGACATCAGGCAACATAAACATCCTGTGAGAAGTCAGTATTGCCATCGGAATGGAAGCAGATAAATCCTAGCAAAATGTGTCAATGTTAACATAAATTCAAAACTATTTTCTTGTGAAAAAAGTATTCTAAGTCAACTTAGTATGTAGCACGAGTTCTGATTGGTCAATGCTATAAATTTCCGACCGTATAATCAGCATATACGGTCACAATTTGAAAACCGATTCACCAAAACCTTTGATTGTATTCCTACACAATTGTGGTAACGCTGTTTTTCAGGGCATTGTCATGTGCAGGAGCCCTTGGCCAATTAACTCCCCTATCCAGCTAAAATGGGTGGAATGTGTGTTAAAAAAAGACAAAACAGTATCATAAATTTAATTTTAAGTTGAAACAACTTACTCGCAATGGGCTGTTGACCCAACACTGTTAGAAACAAGATTATGACGTCATTATGGAGCATGACGTCACCTGCTGTGACGTCATTTCACAACAGAACTGATAATGGTCCGGAGTTGAGGAATCAGCGGGCCGCTCATTTCTGATAACTAGAGAGTGGTTTCATCATAATTCCATCCATTTTATTTATAACACTATGATTTATTCATCATTATCAGATTTAGACAGTGTGCACATAATAAATGTGTTGAAGTTTGAATAGGGAACTACTTTTTCTGGTGATGGTGTAAGTTCAAGGAGTGATATGATTAACCTTTGACCGAGAGGAACTTTGACCTGGTTTAAATAATGAATTTCTTTCACGAAAAAACAGCGTAAAACGAGTTGAATTAGAATGGGGATAACTGTACTGTGTTTGACGAATTGGGGATGTATACCGGTGGTTATATAGCCACAAATTTAACATTATATTGATATAACATTAAATTTGCGGCTATATAACCAAACACAGTACAGTTATCCCCTAATTAACAACACGTTGCACATCAAACACATCAAAAAGGGTCCTTCATACATTTATGAACCTCAGTTTCGCAGCCTGCATTTTGTCGATTGAGAAAGGTGCATCATCATGTAAACTTCACTTAAAAATGATTACATGTTGAACAAAATGTCAGAATAATGACCACAAATTGATTTTCAAAATTTCATAAAGATTGATCATGCTGAAAATTGGATTTGAACGTCTTAAACAAAGAAAGATGTTGTCTTGGTGGGATGCTGTCACTGGTGGGAATAAATATGTGACATTTCAGTGGTTTTGTGGTTTCTAGGTTGTAACCTTACTGTCAAGATATGTCTTTTAGATGAATAATATCTACACCCTAATTCTAAAGGTAGTATTTTTGCGTACAATTCTAATGCTCTATTAATTCTTTTTCTGATAACCACTGACCTTTACTTTCATGGAAACAAAATGACAACTACCAGAACATGTCATCCTTTAGCATTTCTAATCTTTCTATTATGAATTTGCCTTTGACCTTGGATGTCATTACCCACTAAGACAATGAGTCACTACGCACATTACAGAAACATGCCTGGCTGAAGAATTTTCTAATACAAACACGACATAGACATAGACAACAGTCACCACTGATGTAAACAGCAAAACATGCATTTCTAATCTCAATACATAATTATGGTTAACGAGTCATCAAAGACCATTCATTTTCCCTATAATAGCAGCATCAGGCTTCACTCTTCACGTTTTAAAGTTATTCTTAGATCCACCAACACATTTTATTTTTTTACAGCTTGTAACAGAAGCTGCCTGTTGATCAGGTTACAGTCCAGAACAACTTTGTGTTGGAGTGCACTTCCTCCAGACTCTTCAATGTCTCAGCACAAGAGGTGTGTACACATGCAACTGACTACATCGCATTGCTGGTGGATATATTTGTACTTGTTGCAGCATCCAGCACTACAATGATTCACCTAGATTCAAACTGCAGTAAAAGCATCTACACACTTTCTTTCAATCAGACACAATATAACAGAATATGTTCTGATTGTACATGATGGCACTAAGGTATTTGTGTGAGCTACTACATGTCATAAACTAATTGAAGGAAATTTCTTAAGAATAGCCAAAATGAATATCACATCTTATTACACGTGAGCTTTTGGTAAATGTTTTCCCAGTTGTAAAGGCAAATACAAGCTTTGTTAAGTAGCTGGAAACTTAAACTGAAGTCAATGTTGAAAACTAAAGGACAAAAACAGGATACCAGTAAATGGCTTGCCTCTACAGACATAACAGATATTCTATAGCAGTTTTAAATACTGACGAAAAACCCTCAGCTGCATAGTGATAATTATCTGGGATAAAGAGGTAAACCAGTCGTAGACTTCAGCAACTATCCATGCCATGCATTATGATGAAACTCGCAGAAAAGTCAAATTTTGATGGGTTCTTAATTGAGAGATGAAAGTAGTGCTGTCTGAAATTATGTGAAGATATTTGATGGTCTTGTCAGTAGCACCTTCATACGAGGGATGCAATGAACAAGGTCATGTTACAGAACGTGATAG